GTTGTATCACACTGGTAATGATCAATTTCACAAAATCCTTGATCAGTTGTTTCTTTTGTCCCGAGTGAAGGAGAAAACGTTCGCAAAGTGTGCAACAAACGGTACGACTTCAATCGGAAACTAAAGTGTATGTCTTTCGAGTTGAAACAAATTGAAATACCGCATTATCTTGCGGTTCCACGAATGCGTATCTCTTCTCTTGCCTTTTATCTAATCACCGAACGTTGCGTTAGAATACAGAAGCTGATATATTCCCAGTGCCTCGTTCATTGAAATTGAAGCGTTAGATCGTTACGTGGCAAACTACACCAGCAGAAAACAAATTCTTCTTCGCTTCTTATAAAACCTATTTCTCCAATTCTCTTGTACTCTCGTATTAACCCTTTTGTCGACTGCGACTTGACATCAGTTTTTATCACAAAAGAAAAAAAGAAAGAAAGAATAATTTGAAAAATAGTTCGGAGTGCAAAGAATTAGCCCAAACTTCGTATCACGAATTTAGAATATTTTTTCAGCAATTTGCAAGTGTCCGAGTACATACACGCGCACCGTAGATAAAAGATCCGCACCGTGGGGAGCAGTGGGGGGTGGGGGAGGGAGGCTTAATGGTGGTCGAGTGTTTTCGAGGAGATAGGCGTAGGTGAAAGTGGAGAGGAGATGCGTGCCAGGCTCTGTCGGCTCGTTCTCCACAGCCGGATATCGAGCGATCGAGCTCCTCGTGAATTTTTTAGATCGGACCTTTTTGATGCTCACCGGGCGAAACCGGGTGTTCGTAGGTTTATCTACGGTTAGCAGACACACGCCCGCTACCTCGTGTCACGCCGTCTGCAATATTAAACGAAGCCGCGTGATGCTCGAGCGCGTTTCACTCTCTCTCGAGCGAGCGAGCGAGCCAGAGAGGGTTGATTCAGAGAGGGTGTGTTTGGGGATGCGTTTGAAATCCTCCACTCCATTCGCGTGAAATTCCTTTTTCTACATCTCTCTCTCTCTCTTTTTTTTTCTATCACTCGCTTCCACCATTCTGTTTTGCGTGTTTACTTTCCGTTAGGCGTTTTCCTTTTACTTCGTACTCTTTTTCTCTCGCGCTCGCGTGGCAGAGAGTCGGCCGCTGATATTTTTCGTGAATTTCACGATTCG